TGTCTCCCTTGGAAACCTGCATTCCTAGGTTAGGGCCAGAGCAGTTTCCTAGCCTGTCAGAATGGCCACTTCAGGTTGAGAACCTTTCAGGAGAAATAAAGCTCTCCTTTTTCCAAAGTAGAAACCTCGATTTTCTTTTTTTTTTAAGTTAACAGAAACAACTCTAAGGTCACAAGAAATATGTATGCGTTTGCTTTGCCGGAGAAAGGAATGCCTTTGAGGAAGTTTGCTGCTGCAGCTCAGAAGTCTAGTTGCTCAAGGTGTCATCTGAGAATTTAGAAACAGACTTCACTCTAGTGATACAGGGTGTGTGGCGCCCCAGCTTGGGCTACACCAGCCTGCCAGGGAGGACCTGCCTGGCCTTCTGCTTTGCTGCCCCAGGGGTGTTTGTGAGGCAGGATGTGGGGAGGCCAGGGTTGAAGAACCAAGTGCAGCAGAGAGAGGCAAGCGCAGTGGCAGCCTGCAGGTCCCTAGGAAGTTGCATTGCTGCCCATGCCAACCCCAGAACCACCCTGGGACCTAGAGAGCCCTCCTCTGGCTGCGCTGCTACCCTGTGAGGATTTGACAGGCCTAAGGGTGATACAGGGTTCCCCCATTCAGGGCTGAAGAGGGACACACACCACACCACCCCCACCCCCGCATTTCCTAGGCCTGAGCAATTTCATGTAGATTTCCTAGGCCTGGGAATGGTTCATTCACTCTGCCCTCAACAGAAAGGACTGTATTCATCTGTTAGACTTACATACCCCTAGAAATAACCCTGACAAAGTGGGGAGATTTTCTGACTTGGGTCTTTCCCTCTGCCAGGTGCTCTGGTACTTTTTCTGTATTCTTTTATATATAATAAATACTGTCTTACCACTGATCTGTAGTCTGTGGGTTCATTCTTCAAATCCCTAAGACCCAGGACCTACTGAAGAAACAAATTCTGGCAACACTAGGACACATGGAACCCTCTCTTACCCTGCATAAAACCTCCCTTCCTCATCTCTTCCAGAAGACAGATCTGACAACTCTTGCTCTCCTGTCTTGTTCCTTTGGTCAAATGGAATAAAGCTTCCTCTGTCTCCAAGCACTGATGTCATAGTGTTTGACTTGAGCTGCACATGAACTACAAAAGCCCGAATTTGAGGTCTTACAACAAATATAATTACCCTGGGATCAGGGCTTTCTTCCTCTTGTCGCTGAATCTTCGCAATCATCCCAAAGCGAAGCAGTGGAGCTAAGGATCAGGTCCACGGACTCCAGAGCTGGGGTGCTCAACCTAAATGGTTACCAAACTCTTGAGTTTGTGAATTACTTTAGTAAATAAAAGAGAAAATCTAAATTTAAGTACAAGAGCCGGGCACGGTGGCAACACCTATATAATCCCAGCACTCTGGAAGGCCAGGAGACGGGTGAATCGCCAGAGCTCACCAGTTTAAGACCAGCCTGAGCCAGAGCAAGACCTCGTCTCTAAAAATAGTCCTGCCTTGTGGCCAGCGCCTGTAGTCCCAGCTATTTGGGAGGCTGAGGCCAAGGGAATCGCTTAAGCCCAAGAGTTTGAGGTTGCTATGAGCTGTGACGCCACTGCACTCTACCAAGGGCAACAAAGTAAGTCTCAAAATAAATAAATACATATATACATTCATACATATATAAAATAAAATAAAGTACCAAATTACATGGAAGAGGATTTTTCAAAACGTTAAGTAAAAATTTGAAACTAAAATGCTGACATTCCGATTCTTGTAGTTCCCCCCCACGCCCATGGTATTTGGAAATAAACCTTTCTCTTATTAAAAAAAATAATAATAATAAAGTGCTGACGTTCCAACCATCCTTCCAGCCCTAATCACCATCTCCACAGATGGAATATATGTATATGTATCTGTAATTTCATATATTATGTATTACTATATAACAAAATATGTGCCCACACACATATATGAAGGCCCTTAGGATAATTTAGCAGTGGAGAGGTATTTCTTACTCATTTGTTTTTTTTTTTTTTGACACAGAGTCTCACTTTGTCACCCTCGGTAGAGTGCCATGGCGTCACAACTCACAGCAACCTCCAGCTTTTAGGCTTAGGGGATTCTCTTGCCTCAGCCTCCCAAGAAGCTGGGACTATAGGCACCTGCCACAACGCCCAGCTATTTTTTTGTTGCAGTTTGGCCGGGGCTGGGTTTGAACCTGCCACCTTTGGTATATGGGCCGGCGCCCTACTCACTGAGCCACAGGTGCTGCCCTGTTTGGGTTTTTTTTTCTTATCTTCCTACTTTTCCTTCATATTACCTATATTGCTTGTGTACTATAAAAAATGAATGTTATAAAAGTTAACATATAAAATCCTTCTTGACTGAAGAAAAAACCCAAAACATCTGTTAAAATATAAAGTGGGATTATATATATTTTAAATTCATTCTTTTAATTATTTCTAACATTTATTAAGTAATAAGACTGCCCCCAGTCCCTTGCCAAACAAATTTTACCTCTATGTATACAGTACATAAGGCCCCACCCTATCTCTAGACAAAGGTAAAACAAAAAATGCCCCTCTCAGCTAAAACAAGAAGTTCCTCTCCACCCTATTCCACCCCCCTAGGGCCCCAACTTCCTCCAGAAAACCTCCTCCAATATTGTGAGCAGGGGTCCCTCCCTGGGACAGGAAACAAAGAGCAAAGAGGCAGCTTCTGTCACGACCACTTTATTATATCCAGGACATATTGGAGTCCAAACCACCTAGCCCCAGCCCCACTGAACTCCTTCTCATCTCTGGGCCTTTGTACAGGTTTTCCCCCCATGCCTGGAATGCCTTTTCTATTCTGTCTGCAAACTCTGATCTACCCTTCCTAATCCAAGACCCTGAGAGTCCCAGGCAGTCTTGATTATTCCCCCCTCAGTGCTTCCCTTGACCTTAAAGTTTTTGTCATCTGGCATTTTGATCCACAGGGCCCAGCTGGTGGCCTGCCTCTGAGCATAGGCCCAGGAAACACTGAATGGAAAAGTGAATCATGAACCAGGGAGGCAGGAGAGAAGCTGAGAACAGGCTGTGTGGGACACAGAGGCCAGAGCTCGGAGATTTGGAGTTTACTGTCTGAGACAGTGACTGAGGGCATCTGAGGCACTAGATAGGATCCATTTGTGTCTGGCACAATCTTCTACCTGTGGGGGTCTCTGGAGCTCCAACACTGCAGGCTGCAGGCTGCACTGCAAGGGATGGCAAATCCTACATGTATTTTGGTCCTGCCCCTTCCCCATCCACTCATGAAATCTAGAGGTGGGGTGCTGAGGCTTTCCTGCCTCTCAGCCCAAATCTGACTGGGGCCCTAAACTTCACTTCCCATCCCAATAATCTAGAAGCCCAAGTTAGGGTCCGAACCCAAGCTGACACCTAGGCCCGCCCCTGGGAAGTGGAATGGAGGAGCAAGCCAGGGCGACCACTCCCAGGGCAGGAAGCTGGTGCAGGCCCAGGAGTGGACTCCTGCAGCTCCTAGCCAATCTTCAAACCCAAAGATTGGCCAATGCTGCCCCTGGCAGTTGAGGTGTACACAGAGAGTCACCACAGGCCAGACACAAACATCTTTACCAGGACTTGTTCCCATCTGGAGCCAAGCCCAGACCCCTGTCCCCCCACTATACCTCCCTCCCTACCAGCTGCAACCCCCTTCACTTGGTCTTCTGATCAAGTTTGCGCCGTACCAGCTGGCTCAGGAGGAACGCGGTGAGGAAACTGCTGGCCACAGTGAGCAGGAAGAGGCCAGAGAAGTTGTGGGGCCAGTGGGTGTGCAGAGGCTCGTAGATGGGCCGCCGAGACTCATAGTCCAGCGCCACAGCCTCTACCTGAGCCAGTGTGCACAGCACCAAGAAGACATGGAACAGTTGGTGGCCCTGCCCGAAGACGTGGCAGCTGCCTGGGAACCAGCGCTCAGGCATGAAGGTAGAGAAGAAAGCAGCAGCCAGCAGAAAGAATACCACCTGGCACTTGTGGTAGAGAAGGGCCGGGTCATCCATGGCAGGGCCAGGGGACACCAAGATGCGGTGCACTACAGGGCTGATGTCCAGCGCATAGGCCAGTGCCGATGGCACCTCCTGGCAAATGCGGCCCAGCAGGCCTGGTTTCTGGATGAACTTGTTGTAGCAGGAGCCAGTGCAGGACAGCCAGGCAAGAAAGGCAGCCATGGGCAGGAAAAAGGCCTGCACCTTGGCATGCCAAACAGGCTCGATGGCATAGTAGAAGTGCACCAAGGCGCTGCCAAACTGGTACACGGCCACCCCCACATAGTCCAAGAAGAAGAAGCTGTAATGCCAGAACTCAGATTTGGCCTGCAGGAGGTGCGCCACGGCACTGAAGGAGAGGTAGGTGAAGGAGGCCAGGATGATAATAAAGAGGGGCAGTGCATGCGGGTCTCCCCAGAAGTCCACAGTCCTGGCAAACACGGCCAGCCGCAGCAACAGCACCAGGGCTGCCAGTAGGTGGGTCCAGACATTCACCGCCTCATTGTGCTGCTGGAACAGTGTGCAGAAGTAGAAGTACCAGGTCTGATGTAGTGGCCGGTAGCCCACGTAGATGTACGGCTTCCAGAAAAGGGGTGGCACCTCCGCTCGGCCCACCGTGAAGATGGGCTCTAGCTGCACAGATGGCTGAGGCTCCCGGCTGACCTGTCGCAGACTGGGCAGGAGGTGGCTGAGCTTCTGGGCTATGGCCATGGCTGTGGGCCTGGGGAGGGCGCTGGGAGAGAGGCCAGAGCAAGGTCAGGGGTCTGGGGTCCTCCTTCCCACCATGAGCAGCAGCTGGGAGGTGGCATTCTGACGCTCAGGTCTTACCCTCCCTCCCCACACCCTCATCCTTAGGCTGGGTTTAAAAAGAAAGAGGAGTCGTCCTCAGGAAGAGCTGAGCTCTGACCTCATGAGAGCAAAGGTCATTGTTATGTTCCTTGACGGATCCCAAGTACCTAGAACAGTGCCTGACACATGGTAGGTGCTCAATAAATGTTTGAGGAATTAATAAGTTTCCCTGCCTCGGTCATTTCCTTTCCAGTCCAGGCTCCACATTTAAGTGGCCGGGCTGTTTCCTCCTCTAAAGTACAGATGCAGCCATGCGTTCCACGTGAGATGGGGACAGGCCCTCTCAGGCTGTGTTTATGCCACCATCAGCATTCACCTGGTGGCAACAGTGACAGCCTCTACCTATAGCCACTATGGGGACTGGCCCAGGTCACCTGCTGACCCTCTGTCACCCTACATGCTCTGGTCCCTGTTACCTTCTCCAGAGGCCCCATTCCATCTTACTAGGCATTCTTCTTCTTTTTTTTTTTTTTTAAGAGACAGAGTCTCACTTTGTCGCCCTTGGTAGAGTGCCGTGGTGTCACAGCTCATATCAACCTCCAGCTCTTGGGCTTAGGTGATTCTCTTGCCTCAGCCTCCCGACCAAGTAGCTGGGACTACAGGCACCCACCACAATGCCTGGCTATTTTCTTGTTGCAGTTTGGCCAGGGCTGGGTTTGAACCCACCACCCTCAGTATATGGGGCCGGCACCCTGCTCACTGAGCCACAGGCGCCGCCCTCTGCAGCATTCTTGTTCAACCACAGTACACGTCAAATCCAGTCACAGCCTCACCAAACCCCTGGACTGCTGTTGCACATATCTGTAGCTTCACACAAGCTGTTCCCTATGCCTGAGTATTTTCCTCCTCTTGCCTATTAAGAAAATTCCTAATAATCCTCAAACCTGTTTCTTCTGTGATGCTTTCCTGGGCCCCATGAACCTCCTATGATGATCCCTCTACTTGCATGTCTGCCCTCAGTCAGGCCATCCTGTGACCATTATAACACTTCTCATGGGCATTCTAGTTGTTAATGTGAGTTCACAGAGGGCAGGCAGTCTGTCTCATTTTGTGAACCTCTGGTGCTTAGCAAGTAACTGGAGCTCAATGTCTGCTGAAGGAAAGAACAATATAACAGCAGTCTGGTAATGCCGTATACCCTTCAAGGCCCCAGTCAAAGAGCCACTTCTTTCCTGAAAGTCCCTAGCTAACCACTGATTAGCCACACCCACTCTCAAGTTCCTCTCTCCAGCCCCTGCTCTGCTGCCTACAGTTGCTAATTCCAAATTAATCAAATCTAATCCCTCATCCTGGCATTCAAAGCCCTCATTTCCCATGCCACCTCCCTGTGCCATCTTCCTTTCTCTGCACTGAAGTCCTTTAAGGCTAGTATAAGCTGCCACCTCTAGGGGGCCTCCTCATTGCCCCCCAACTTTCCCCTGATCTATGATTTGTTAGACAATTTAGCCTTTACTTTAAAACATACGTTCATTCATTCATTTAGTAAACATTGAGCCCTCCATACCTGTGCTGGAATCGGGGAGGAGGGGAGAGTGGAAAAGGATTTGATTCCCTGTCCTCAGAAACGTCATGATCTGGGCGAAGTTATAGAAAGGAAAACAAATCACAGCAAATACTTACACAGTACTTGCTACAAGCTTCATAACAACCCCGTGAGGTAGATACTATTATTATTCCCATTTTCCGGATAAGGAAACTGAGGTGCGGGGAAGTTAAGTATTGTGCCCACCCACCTTAACCAGGAAGTGGTAGAGGCTTGCACTGAATTCAGTCTGCACTCTTAACCATCACCCTAACTGCCCTTTGCAAGACAAGGTAGCACGCCTAATCACCATTTTACTGTTTTGCATGGCACCAGTTGCATAATTCAAGTTTATCATCATTCATTGTGTCATTCATTAACCCAAATGTCTAATGAAAAACCTGCCAGACAATTCCCTGACTACCTTTCCCCTTCCACTGCCAAATAAATTCTCTCCAGCAAGCTTATTGAACTCAGTGTTCAGATTCATCAGATATCCATGATAACTACCTTTGCCCCAGTCACTGTATGAAACAAAGAGATTCAGGCAGGACAAAACAGTCATGTTCTCTGCCACAAGCTGTGCTGTAATCATCCCCAAAGCAACTCAAATAATTCACATACAATCCAAGTAAATGCACGGTGCTTGCTATGCAAGGCATCAAGATGATCAGTCTCCCTAGCCCATACTCCTCTGGCCTGGTCTGCATTCCTAAGCCTCTGCTGCATTAGGATTCTGGAGTCAGCTCTGGCCCCTGGCCCTTCCTAGTCCAGTGGGGCAGCAGGAATTAGTAAGTCATCACACTACCGCACCAGGGTACAACAGGGAGTAGCACAGGGAGGGTTCTTCTGCTCCCTAGGACAGGTTTTAAGAGCAGACCTTTCTGACGGAGTAATTTATGGGGCCACTTCAGTCTAAGCCCCGCTGCCTGGTTGAGGAGCCAGTGCTGGATTTCTTCATCTCCCTAAGAAACTGGGCTTTGGCCTCAGTAATCCAGCTTCCACACTTGTTCACAAGTTTGTCTTCCCATCTCATGCAGCTCCCTTGTTTTATATTAAACCAGATCCCAGAGATAGGAAGGCCTTCCCCAGAGTTGTCCAAGACAGCAAGGTTTCTATTCCACCATGCACAGACCAGGGAATGATGAAGCCTGATGGTACCCTGTGGACACCAAGTTCCTTCCTGGGTCCCTGTGATCTGTTAAGTCCAGTCTTATGTTTTATGTCCCATTCTTAGAACTGACCAAAGCATAACAGCACATTAAAGACTCTGAGAAGTCCTGCAGCAAAGAAGTCTGCTTAGCTCTGCTGAATCTGCATTTGCCAAGTTTATATGACCAGGGATTCCTTTCCCAGAAACATAATAATCATACTCTAAAGCCAGTTGAAATGTAGTAAGCACTTACTGTATGCTCATTCTATACAGCCTTGTTGCAATTAATTCTCATCACTTGCCTGGGAGGTAGATATTGTTCTGCCCATTTTATTGTTCCAAATAGTGAAATTCAAGAGAGTTTAAGAGCTCCTTACCCAAGGTCAGAGAGGGAGGAAGGAGGAAAGAAGTGAAGCCAAGACTGGACCCTGCTCTCTGACTATATAGTTGAGATTTTCCATTCATAGCCATTCTGCTGCTACCCTGCTATGGTCACATATGTCTGCACCCCGCAGAACGACTTCACAAAAATCCTGGCCTAAAGCAAACAAGCAGGCCTTTTTCTGTGAATGACTTGGCTTCTAGAACTCAGTCTCTCTAAGTTGCCAGTTATCTACCCGCCTCCCAGCTACCTCCTCCGGGGTTGATAGGCTGGCTCACAATCCCCTCCCCAAGACACAGGGGCCTTAAGGACAAAACCCAGAGGCAACAGGATGACAGAGGCCCCAACAAGCTATTTTCTTTAGACTATACCCAGAGGCCCCATTCCATCTTACTAGGTCAATTTTCAGAAATAGTTCCTGTCTCCTAACTCCAAGGAAAGTGACCCTGATCCAGGGAAAAGAAGCAGAGGCAGGATAGAAGATGAGAGTGAGTGTCCAGATGTCACCATCAGGGCATCCTCTGAGTAGTCTGCCTCTGAATAGTATGCCCACCAGGCTACTGGGCCCTGCCTGTTCCAGCAGCTCAGCCCAGCACAGTACATGTCCACGGGCCCCCTCCAAACCTCCCAAGTTGCCTTGGGTACCTGGGGGTTTCCCTCAAGCCTGGGGGCTGATGACTTCTACTGTGGGACTGGGCAGATTCATCAAATGCCAAGCACTGTGTGGCACTTCCAAAGTGAGGGTCACCAGGGGCGTGGCTTCCAGCAACTGGAGGTGTCTTGTGTGATGTCACCAGAGGGTGGGGCTGAAAACAACCTCCCGCACCTCTCTCTTCCCCCTCTCTCCTTGGTTAAACCAGGCTGTGTGCTCTCCCAGCCAGGACTCTGCTGCAGAAAGAAGCTCATCTGGAACCTGAGTGGGGCATGTGGGAAAACTGAGAGGTGGCTGAAAGGTTTGACTTACCCAAGATCACACAGCAAGGCAATAGCAAAGCTGGGCTGGGACCAAGTGTGCAAGGCCTGGTTGACCGAGGTCAGGCGAACTTGGCTGGCTCCTGTCCCCTACTCAGTGGGAATCAGAATGGGAAGAAATTAGAAATAAAGAAGAAAACAGACTCTATAAAAGCTCACAAAGGAGATGGACTTCAGATCCGACAAACCAGGTTTGACTCCTGATTCCATAACATGCTAGTTGTATGACTTTAGACAAGTGACTCACCATATCGGATCCTTAGCTCTCTCATGGAAATTACAATATTATCCACAGCATAGATTGCCACGAAACTAAATTTATTAAAACATTAGCATAGGCTCGGCACCTGTGGCTCAAGCGGCTAAGGCACCAGCCACATATACCTAAGGTGGCAGGTTCGTATCCCCAGCCTGGGCCCGCCAAACAACGATGGCTGCAACCAAAAAATGGCCAGGTGTTGTGGCGGACGCCTGTAGTCCCAGCTACTTGGGAGGCTGAGGCAGGAGACTCGCTTGAGCCCAGGAGTTGGAGGTTGCTGTGAGCATGATGCCATGGCACTCTACCCAGGGGGATAGCTTGAGGCTCCGTCAAAAAAAAAAAAAAAAAATTAGCATAGTTAGCATAGTATAGGGACTCAAAAAATAATTGCTATTATTAATAATAATAATAATGGTAGAATTTGAAATTTCCCTAGCCTGAGAGATTTGCTTAGGGTTGTCTAAAAATCTATCCTCTTTTAGCCCTCAGTAGCCAGTTCCACTGGATTTGGGAAGCCTCAGAAAGTTGATTGTGTCTCCTAAACACATGCCTAATCCCCAGGGGTCTATTTGAGGACCAGGGAAGTTTGGCTAGAATTTGGACTTCTGAGGACACTGACCATACTTAATAATTAAATATTCTCAGCAAAGACCATTCAGAGTACCTGCTTTAGATTCACAGAGCCCTGAAAATTGGCACTTGCCCAAGGTCCAAGAGATGTGAGTGAGCAAGGACATTCCCAGGGGAAGAGGTGTCAACTCCAGGATCTTGGCAGCCCACCCCAGAGTGGGAGGGTGCAGGGAGTGTACTGCCTTAGCAAGTAATCCAAAAGCATGTGCTCTGGCCTGGGCATGTCTTGCAGGAAGGTTGGGAGGCTTCTGTGTTGGCTCCAGTAGGAGTTCCTCTGTCAATCTGAGCAGCAAATTCCTCCCCTTTTTCCTCAACTCAAGATCAATGCTTTTCACCCCCCTTCTCAGCCAAAGCTTTCACCACCACCCCCAGCTCCTCCTGGACAAAAGTTCTCACAACTCACCTGGAGCAAAGAAAAGATCAGGTTGGGGAACAGGGCTTTGGAGAGGGAGAACCCTGGGTTACTCCCATTCCACGGATTTCACTGAGTGCTTACTAGGATATATGCCAGCCACAATGCTACCAGGCTGGGGCACAGGTGGAATGAAGCAGCCAGGTTCCCTGCCCCAGCGCACTTACCCACACAAATGCCTGTGAGCCTGTGTACCTAGGAAGGAGGCCGCCCAGGTGGTGACCCTAGAGAACTGGAAAGAGCTGCTGCCCTAAGTGTAGGCCTCCACCACTCAGCTCCAGCAGAGTATTTCAAGAGAAGCCAGAATCCCCATTTTTATTTCAAGTCTGGGACTTACCAGTTGTGTGACTTTGTAAAAGTCCCTTAACCTCGCTGAGCTTGTTTCCTCAGTTGCAGTCAGAGGAGAAAAAATAGCTACCCTCTTGTAAGTGGGTGAAAGTGAAAGATGTCATGGACACTCGGGGTTGGCTCTGGACTATGCTGAGTCCACGGATTTTGCTGGATTCTCATCCTGCCCAACCACTCAAACCCTGTGTGACTTGGGACAAGTCCCTCCTCCCGTGGCCCTGTCTCTCCAAATGTCAAAGGAGAGAATGAAATCACCAATGACTTCAAAGGGCCCTCAGGCCCTGTGACAATCCAACAGTGTTTACTTTAGGCCTACTATGTGCTGGGCACTGGAACTTTAACACAATCCCCTCTCCAAGACATAGGCCTGAAGGACAAAACCCCAGAACAGTGCAACTTAAAGAGCCATTTAAAGTGCTGCCCTCATAGAACTTACAGTCCAGGAAATCAACACCAAAAGGTATCAATCCCCTGCCCTCTTGGTGCCGATAGCCTCAATAAATTACACCTATTACAAGTATTATATACTTACAATTCCATTCCCTCTCTTGCCTCATTCCTGGCAAGCAAAACATTCACTGTTGCTTTTCTGGGCCCTGATTGTTCAGCATATTCTCTTAAAGATAACTTTATCTCAAAAAAATAAAAAATAAAAAATAAATAAAAAGATAACTTTATCTCGCCATAGAAGGCAAAGTCTAATTCCATTAGCAAAAAGTAATAAGGTCAGGCCAATGTTCACAGTGGGGTTGTCCGAGGTAAACTTTCTCGAGGTGTCCTGATGAGGACGACACTACACGGCAAAGCCTGAAACATTATTAATGGGGCTCATTATTTATAGTGGCTTGCTGTTTAACAAGTGTTTTCACACACTTTTCATCACTCCCTAACAACTCTCTGTATTCACGGATAATACGTGCCCTCTGTATCCAGCCCCAGGGGAAGGATGGCAAAACACATCTGTCTGGCTCCAAAATCAGTATCTCACCCTTCATCCACTGGGGGCAACTTGCAAGCACCCAGCAAGTAGCCACAGACTATTCAGGCAAAGTTTTCATCCCTGGCTGGCTTCCCCATCTCTTAGCAACTGGGTCACCTCCCTCAAAGCAAACCCATGCCTCAACTTGGCTCAGTGTTTTAAAGAAAAAGCCCCACCAAGTCTTCTAAAATTGAACAGAAAGCATTTTTTTTTTCTAACTGTACTTTGGGACTCCATTTATAGTGGAGAAGGTGAGGAGAATGAAATAAATAATTCTTTTTTTTTTCCTTTGAGACAGAGTTGCACTTTGCAGCCCTCGGTAGAGTGCCGTGATATCACAGCTCACACAGCAACCTCAAACTCTTGGGCTTAAGAGATTCTCTTGCCTCAGCCTCCCAAGTAGCTGGGACTACAGGCACCCGCCACAATGCCCGGCTACTTTTTGGTTGCAGTTGTCATTGTTTAGCAGACCCAGGCCAGGCTCAAACCTGCCAGCCTCAGTGTATGTGGCCAGTGCCCTACCCACTGAGCTACGGGTACTACCTGGCTATTTTTTTAGAGATGAGGTCTTGCTCTGGCTCAGGCTGGTCTTGAACTATGAGCTCAGGCAATCCACCCTCCTCAGCCTCCCAGAGTGCTAGGATTACAGGAGTGAGCCACTGTGCCCGGCTGAAATAAATAATTCTTAAAGTCTGTGAAGCTCAGACTCACACTGCTCTGAGGAAGGAGATTCTTTTGGGCCCAGAGAGGTTGGGTGAGCTGACTATAGTCCCTCAGCACAGGGCACAGAAAAGGTACCTAAGCTTCACAGCTGACCAGCAAGGGCCACTCTGGGAAGGGAAACTGAGTCTAGCCAGGGGCAGCTTCCCAACAAGAGGACCCAGAGGTGGCACAAGCCTCATGGTGCAGAAGGCTGGGGCCCTCTTCATAGGAGCTCGGATATGGGAACCTGAGCCATCCACTCAGGAGCATCCACACTGAGAATCTAGGAAACTTTTCAGACTCCAAGACCTTGGCCTGACCTAGCCCCACAGCCTTGGGAGCTGCCCCAGGGAAATCTCTGGGTGCTGTTCAAGCCAGCAGCCTTGAGACTAGTGTGGGATCCCCTCACTTCTCTCACTGTGTGGGAGGAATCTAGTCCCTCCTGACACCAGGGGAGGGGTCCCCATCCCAAGGACCTTGGTCTACTTGGGCCTTTGGAGCAAGAGTCCCTCTTGGCCCCCAGCAGTGCTATTCTTACTGTTCCTGGTTCTGCCAACCAGGACCCCTCACATCACTCAGCTCCACGCGCCTGCTCCCCTTCTTGTCTCATCTAGATTCCTCCTCCAGGAAGCAGCGAGTTCCCTACCTGTCCACCAGGACCACCGTCTTCCCCAGAGTGCCCGTGTCCACTCTCTCACCACTGTTTCCCCTCTGCCCACCTTCAGTATCCCCCAGGGGTGTCCCCCTCTCCACAGCACTTACACGCTGTCTCCCATCCCTCCTCCCGCGTCCTCCCGCATCCTCGCACTCGCCGACCCTCCGGTCCTGAGCCCCCTCTCCTCTGCCTCCTCCCACTCTTCCCAAGATCCCCCCTCTGGCTCGGGTTCTTCCTTCCTGGTCCTGCCTGCGGATCCCCACCCACCCATCCTCTTGCCCTAAGCCTGACCCGGAGGTGCTCCCCTCCAGCGCTACTACCCTGTCCGTCCTCTCCCCACGTCCCCGCGTGCACCCGGCCCCGAGAGTCGCACGGCACTCAGCAGCCCAGCAGCCCAGCCGCGGCCCGCGGGGAGCGCCCCTTTCTGCGTCCAGCCCGGCGCCCGTACCTGTGGCCTGAGCAGAGCCGGGAGCCACCACCTCTGGGACAGCCGGGCTGGCAGATAAAGGGCCTGAGGGCGGCGGGCAGCGGCCCCGCCCCGAGCCGGGGGAGGGCGGGCGGCCTCCTCCTCAGCCTTGGCCTGCAGCCGGGGCGACCCCCAGCCCCCACGCGCCGCCGCGCCGTTGCACAAGCACCTCTCCCGCACCACGCCCGCGTGTTGCACGCACAAGCAGAGGGGTTGCCCGCCCCAGAGTCTCGGGACTTCCTGTTTGTTCAGCCGGGGATGGAGGCCTGGACAGCGGTTGCCCAAGTTCCTTGGGGCCGCAGCTGAGCGAGGTCGCGCTGCTGGAAGACACAGGGACAGAAGCATAAGTTGCAGTTTCTAGGTCCAGCTGACCTGGAGAGAACAGGGAACAGGTGTAGCTGGAGAATGGAGAGCTTCCCAGCCAGAGCCTGCTGTCCAACCCCCATCCGCTCGCAAGGCAGCTTTGGTACCTTCATGTGTCTACTGGGGTGCTCCACCAGCCTTGGGCACCCTGGCTTATTCGAGGTCCCACCCAAACCCCTCCCCTCTGGCAGCTTCTGCCCAGAAGTCTGCCCAGCCAGTGCAGTGTCTGAACCCGATTTAAAACACCCACTCTCTTCTCCCTATTGACACACTTTCCTCCAGGAGTAGAGCAGCCAAGGCCTTCAATAAATATTGGATCAACAATACCACGGGTTGTCGGTTCCTCTGGTGTGCAAAGGCTGGACCAGGCAGAGTGGGGAGACCCCACCAGCTTCTTAGGAGCCCACAGCCTGATGGATGGAGAGCTAAGAGAGAAACTGCTCTGCCCTAGGGGAGCTTTGAGTCCTCTGGGAGAGGCAGTTGTGATGCCTAA